TTACTACCTTGTTGCCCGAACCTCAATAGATGATGAGGGGTTCGAACCTGCGACTCAATGGTTTAAAGTCTACTCCCCACACCAGTAAGTTGCACCTCCGTCAGTATCAATAACACCAGTCTACTAAACCATAGCTATCTCAGATAGTTTCATCGATAAACTGAAGGTGTCAAAATTTCTTAAATTCATAAGATTTATTCTGACAGTCAAAGCACAAATAGAAAAGAAACGATGTGGAAATTTCAAACAGAAATTACAATTAGATTTGGTCTGGGGATAGTCCAAGTATATGTGAAGTGATTGCAGATAATTCCTTTAAAAAACTACACCAACTTTTTGTTTGGATAAACAGCACCATTGGTTAATTTAATCAACCTGATTGTATAAAACATGATCTTAGAGAGTATAACTTTATGCACAGGAGAAAGGTTCAGAGGTTGTAACTAGTGAAGCCAGTTTGGTGAATTCACTTCATAAACTTTAATGGGCAGAAGTATGCTTGAATTTCACTACTAATATGCATTTAAATACTATAAATTGTAAGCAGCTGATGAGAACATTTAAAATCAAAATGAATGCATTATTCATTGATACTGTTGACTCCCAGTTGATATTATGGATCGAATTGACCTACCTCTGTTGACAAATGGGATCCTATGCAGATGCCACGATATTGCCTGAAGATTTATTAGGTTGTGATTTGTTGATGTTAGTTAGCGGCGAAATTTAGGACACAACGGGTGTATAACGCTAGGTCGTTTAAAGTGGTCGGTTTAAGGTTCGAGTCTCAGTGGGAACAGCATCACTTACTGGGGTACAGGTACATCCAGCTGACGAGTCTTAAATGGGAGGAAACCCTCCTCCCTGATCTCAATGCTAACCACTATCAAGGAAACTACGACAAAATAAGTTCATATTACTATGTTCAATTTATTGCTCCCTCACTCGATCGCTCTCTAGGTATATTCATGACACATAAATATTTTCATCTTTCCTTAAAGGTTTGTGAAAAAACCAGTGAAAGCAAAGACTGATATGAGCTGCGGAACCACTAAAAAACCGAGGGGTATAGAACAGTTGCTTTGTTTTATTCCAGAACTCGTCAGTGATATATCCCTTCGACTTCTTATTTGCTTTTATAATTACGTTTAATCAATCATGAGAACAGTATTATTGCTTTTATTATACCGTCGTTGATTGAACCGAACTGATCGGTCTCTATTGGCATACAGGCTCCTGAGCGGATGCCTCGATATTGCATGTTTTTAATTATATATAGTAATGATGGATAGTGGCTAGCAGTAAAATCCGGGATGCGCACTTCGTCCGATTTAGGACTCGTCAGCAATAATGCTAAAACTATACCCGTCACACAATAAGTGGCTATCTTGGCTCAGTGGTCTAGTCGATAACGCCCGGTCTCGAGCTCAAGTCCCAGTGGGAACAACATCACTCACTGAGAGGCAGACACATTCAGCTGACGAGTCCCAAATAGGACGAAGTGCGCATTCTGGATTCTACTGCTGCTCGCTATCCATCATTACTACGTAAAGACATGAGAACAGTAACTAAACTATTAGGGAACATCTTGCAAATCATAACAAGTCTACGCCGTCCGATTTTTCTGAAGCATAAGTTCACCGTACACTTATTGAATGTCACGACACCAAACAGTAGGGGATTTCATAAATGAAGGATAAAAACCCATCCAAAGAAGTTACTGTGTGAGAACTTATAGGAAAATATATTATGATTGTTATTCTACTTAAATGGGTTATCCCGTAATAAGAATAATGTAATCATAAAACTTCATAAACGTGGTGTCGATTCAGACTAAAGCAGATACACCGTTGAACTTTATCGTTGCACTATCATTTCTATTAAACTGTTTCGGCTGGTTTAGTTTCTTTTTCTATATTATACTACATGTGGATTATTTCAGACCGATGCCTATAACTCAGTTATTTGGTCATCAATCAAGATGAAGAATGAGTCAAAGACTGATACTGTAGATACCCCTGAATGAACTTGAGTAGGATACACTACTGTGATCCATTTTGATGATATGAAACTGGACAGAACATATATTTGTGCAGTTGGGTTAGTCAGATAGATAACAGTTAGTTCCTATCAGACGTAGAATAAATTCACAAGGAAAGTTGACAGCAACTATATGACTCTAAACAAAGTGAAATACGGTATAACACTCCCTGAACAAAAGGTCTCTATAGGGACTACAGATAGAAAAATTGGGTCAGTTACTTCTCAATGGCTGATTCGTATAGTGTATGCATATGTGTCGTGAAAAATATGCATCATCAGCCATACTGATATCAGTCTACCGATATGATAAGTCAATAAAGACTAATGTATCTATTCATGGATAGAAATTGGAGCATCTTTTGGTGTTGACAGAATTAATGTAATGCATAAGGTTACATCAACTATACACGTCTCCGAAAATCCAGTTTAAGGGGAAAGCATGACTACTAATCTAGTCTCTTACAACATCATATTATCAAACCCAGCATACACAGACACTGTCGATGAAAATCTAAGTTTATTTTTACAAAGAAGAAGTAATCAAATGTTATCTCTATGCAACGAAAACCTCATTCTGAAGTATATGACTATGTCACAATTTCACCCAAACTATGGTATGAAAAAAACACAGAAAAAGAGATTTCAAATGCTCTACTGAAGAGTTCATACTGTGGCTTAAACGGACAAAACAGTTGTATTCATAGACTATTGCATTTTAGATGGTCTGTAGGATTTTCTTCGCTTATATTTAGTTCTCATCAACACAACACATCAAGGTGTTCAGTTATTCATCAAAATCAGCATTCGGGTCAACTACATCAACCAATGTAAATTCAGAGCATATAGTGGATGTTGAAAGTGGATCAAAGTTACTACTGCCTATGGATACTGTTACTAATAAAACATCTGTGATCGATGAATCAAGAACCATTTAAAATTTGGGAGCACCGGACAGCCGTTTCATCCCACTAGTATGGGGCTCCTCAGCAGTGCGCACCCATAATCTCACTAGGAACCGATTCCGGGAGATTCAGGTTCCGCGGCCAACACGCTGCCATTGAGCCACTGGGTCCACAATATGGTGAAGTGGCCGCCAATGAACTTGAACCCCCCGGGTTCGACTCCTGGTGAGGTTATGGGTGCGCGCTGCTGAGGAGTCTCACATTAAGACGAAACAGCTGCCAGTGCTCCCAGGTTTCCAATAGTTCCCCAATTGATATCAGCCCACGATGAATATCAACCTAAATTATTACAATAATAATTTTGCTTGGTTGCGACTAGCAGAAGAATCTAGGACACGCGCTTCGTCCTACTTGGGACTCGTCAGCTAGATTTGCCTGCACTCCAGTGAGTGATGCTGTTCCCACTGGGACTCGAACCCCGTACCCACGGCTTCAAACACTGAGGCGTTATTCACCACGCCACAGAGGCACAAGTAGGACGAAACGCGAGGCCTGGATTTTTCTGCTAGCAACAACCCAGCAAAAATATCAGGACTAACATTCAGGCAATATCGAGGCATCGACACAGGAGCCCATGTGCCAAAAGAGGTCAAACAACTCTATCCAACAAAACAACGAAGAATTACAAGTACATCAATACGTAGTAATCACTAAATTATTACTGTTAAAGTTAAATGGGTTATTGTACCCGTCTGAATAACTAACTAAGCAAGTCGATAAACACAACCACTTCAACGATTCCAACAGAAAACAATCTTGAAACATAATTTAAACTAAGGTAAAGAACGGTTACTGTTTGTATTTAATTTTGATGCAAGAAACTTGAGAAGATTTACACTTCAATAGGATCCCAACACGGTTCATACAGCTTGAACATTTGCAAACAGTTGATGCATCGAACTAAAGATATGCTGATACATACTATTTTCCCGGTTCATGGAAAAATTGTTTATACTGGACAATGATTGAAGATGAAATGAGAATCTAGCTTGCGATGGGATTCGAACTAGGAGCCTCCATGTTACTGACCCATTGCTTTACCAAGTGAGGTGCACCAATTAATCCGGAGGTCACTTGTTCGAATCCTGAAGCGATCCAGATTTCCATTTTACTTTCAATCATCACCCATTATCAATAAAGACCTGTCAAACCACCATGATCAAAATCATGAAAAAAGTTACCCTATAGAATCCGATTATGACCAATATTTTAAAACTCAACTTTTAATTACAATGTCATGAGTTCGAAACCCACTTCATCTGGGGTTCATTGACTAGTGAATAATTTTCCCTTCTAAACTTTATTTGTGGCCCAAATGGAAGAAAACTAACGGGTATCTAGCTACTTGGCAAAAACTATGTATTTAAGTCAGAGACAACGAAAGTTCACGACAAACTAACGGTATCCGTACCAAGTCAGAAGGTACAAACTGCAACGAACACAAGAAATGTTATTCATTTTATTTACCTGACATTTTCTTTCTGTTCCATGCAATAAGAACGTCTAATATCGTATAGATAATGCAACTCAACACCTACTTAAGAGTTGATGTCCTAGACCAAAAGCCACATCTATTGTACTAAGATTATAATGTTATCTCTAACTCTTCGAACCTTGGTAGGTGGAGTCAAGTTGAAGTTCATAAGTTATCGGTTAGAAGTAGAGTGACCAAGTGAATGATCTTTGAAGGCAAACTGGCTTTGAAATATGAACATATTGTTTTAACCTTTAAAGATATTCCCAAAAAGAAAGAGTTTGAAGCCATTTTTTCAAAAAAGATGCAAAGATATTTGACAAATACATTTTCCTGGTATGTTTGAACCCCCAATGTATACGAACTAATAAAATCCCCCGCCAATAATTCATCGCTTGGTGTATTATTATATAAAAAATGGAAGTCATATCTGACCTGAGACTAGAAAGAATATTACAACGACACTTAAAGAAGTTTACATGCATCTTCAATACTCACATGATAATCGAATGCGAACTTACTTTACACGGTCAGCAATGTGAGGATACAGTTCTGGACGCCAAGCAGGCATGTGAGTTACAACTATATCTGTATTATTTGGAATATGAAGCCACCGTTTAGAGACATCTTCAATGCTGGGCAAAACAAAGCCCTTAGATCGACATGAGGTAAGAATATTAGCTGCATGTTTTGATGACGGCTGATCATTATTGGATTCAGATATTCTCTGATGACTAGCTGAAGAGTTTAGTTTCAATTTTCGATGACTAAAGTGTTTTTGTACAAATGCTCCATCTTCCGGTCTTAAATCATCAGCTGCAGTCCAAGGGACTCCATAAATTGTTAATCCAAATACTTGACACCATGAATCTTCAAGATAAATGGCTGACGTAAGGTGAGACTGAATTTTCTCAGGAGTGGGATAATCACTAGATGAATCTGAATACCATGTTTCCCAACAGCCAGGGACAAATATTTTAAAATCATGAGGTTGTTGGGCAAAAAAATTGTCAATTTCTTTGATTTTCTGTTGCCAGTTGTTAGGTGGTAATGAATGACGCTTCTTGAATCGAGGAATTCTACCAGTAATGCTGCTACACCATGTTGCAAGACGGAGACTGAGCGAAGGTGGATGTGATGTAAAATCTCCAGAATGTATTAGGATATGACCTCGAGGAATATTTTCAGTAAAGGCATCATGTGCTCCTCTTGTATCTGAGATATGTACAATACGAACAACCTTCGCCTTAGGATGTCCAACGTCTCCAACTACATATACATTCAAATTCCTAAAATTGAGTACAGCTGAAGTTTGAAGGGAACTGGCACAATAGGACGGCTCGATTTTGGATGCTGAAAATATGATTGAGGATTAAACTAATATAAATTCCAACAGGTTTATAAGTTTTCCAGAAAACACAACCGTCTTCTAAATGATCATCAGGCTATGATTATACATAAAATAAAGTCTGTAGAAAATGATTCTTTATGGACATTTAGCTTATATCACGTGGGTTTTTACTTAAACGTGATTGGATAAAAGAATATCGATAAGCCAACCAGCATGAAGTGTTGACATCCAATGCCTGGTTAGCTAAGATAATAATGGTCACAAAACTTTTACACCAATCAAATTTTAGATTTCAGTGGCAGACCATGTATGCTCTGTTTTGCTTCGTCCGAGGCGAAAGGATGGTTAGGTTGCCATAATTTCAAGAAATAAAACATTGAAAAAGCAAACTTATTGTGATTTTGTTGTCTGTAATAGTGTTGTAGTATTTTCCACCAATGATATATTATAAACAAAAAATGATATAAAACTGTAAATGTATCATTCAATATCATTTTCATGATATTTTATGATAGATACGCTTAAAAAACATGGAATTGATGGTATTTTCTACAGGGAAATCCTTATTGACTATGATGTACTATCCCTAATGATTAATCTGCCTATTTTGCGCATCAGTTCACCATTGTTTTCTAACTTCTAGTTAGGTGTATACGACTGGAAGACTATGTGACTTCTTTATTGACATGATGTCTAATTAAAATCGGATATAGAATTTAGCGTCAAGGAGGTTACGACAGTTGGTGCAACCAAGTTATAAAGACACTAAATTCAAGCATATTATCGTATATTCAAGAGAAATATAGTGGGAGGAAGACAAAAAGAAGTTCCTTTGTGGATGCTAAAGAATAAGAGTAGTTTTACAAGTTAATATATTTCAGTCATTTCTGTATCACTAAAGCATATGCATAAAGGGGTGATAATTCCTGATTGTGGTGGACTGGATCATGCAACAAGTCGTGAGAAGCCAGAAGAGGGGGATACGCTGGACAGGAGAAAAGGAAGATTCGGATTTTGCCGATGACTTGTGTCTAATGTCTTGCGGCACGAACTTGAAAATGTACAGGCGAAAACTAACAACTCGACAGAGGAGGCAGGGCAGCAAAAACGGGACTTTCTTCCGGTGAATGTAGAGAAGACAGGGGTCATGAACATACCCAAACAACAACAACAAGCTCCAATCACTATCAACAGGAGAAACCTAAAGCAAGTAGTCTATTTCTCCTATCTAGACAGCACTGTCTCAACTACAGGTGGTGGCACAGACGAGGATGTCAAAGCCAACCAGGATCGAGAAAGCAAGACAGGCGTCGACTAACTTGAAATCAGTGTGGAGATCTACTGCACTCAGCACAACGCGTGAACAGGATCCAGATTTTCAACACTAATTCAGTCAATTCAGTGCTGATATATGGTTTGGAGACTTGGCGCGTTAGGAAAAGCATTTCCAACAAACTACAGATATTCATCAACAACTGCCTACTCTGGCTCGTCACTGAAGCTCAGATGTCCAGAATATTAAGAATAAGCAAGAAGGAACTCTGGCTGGTTGTTAAGGAACCAATCAAGAACCTATCACTCAACAAATATGCAGTGGAAGGAGGTTGAGATGGATTGGGTATACACTGAGAAGGCCGAGTGGGGACATCACGCACCAGGCCAGTTGATCGAGTGGAACCCAGATGGGTGAGGTGAGGGTGACATGGAGGAGATGATGTGAGGAAGAAATGAGATGTTGTGGGCTGTCGTGGAGCCAGGTTGAAATGATTTCAGAGAAGAGAGTGGAATGGAGGCGTGCTACTGAAGCCCCATGTTCCATTAGGAACCCAGTGGATAAGTAATAATAAAAGGGGTGATAAAGGATTATGCGTCTCACTACGTTAGGAATTCTCACTATCCACGCTCGATCAATTCTTATTGGCAGGTGACCAAGAAATATTTTATATTGGGAATAAACGTTTGATTATTTACGTCTGGTGATGGGATTGATTCGTCAAAGAAGAATTATTTATTTGTTAGTTAGTTAACTTGATACACATAACCAGACTGTATGTGACTTTTCTCCGAAAAGCCAATTTATGATTACAGTGAATAATCTTCGGTGCTGATGGAATGTTATCAACTGCTCGGCAATATTTTCACCTTACTCGGTTCAATACAGTTTGTTAGTTGGCTGAATAGGAAACTCTGCTTAGCCTAGGTTTCGTACTTTTTGGCACTCGTCAGCGAGGTATATCTGCAACCTCGAGGGGATTGATGTCCCTCTCTTATTTGAATCCGCATCACACAGTGCTGCAGTCAGCGACGTTACCGATGAGCTACTCAGTCGCGACTAACTTTCTGTAGGACTGGATCAGATACATTGACTGATCACTAGAGAACAGCCAACTTCATGTTGCTTAGTTCATAGTGTTAACGGAATTCTGTCAGTCATTTCGCAATGTGGCTACAAACCTAGGAGATTCACTGTCACAGTTCACTTTGATGAACTTTAATATTTAACTGTTCAGTCAATAGCTAATAAATATTTTCATACTTAATTGCTTATTCCCGACCACGGCGGCCAGAATAAATCATGTTAATAATACATGAAGTCATTGATTGCTGATTTGAACCATGTAGGGAGATGCAGACTAACCGGTTGGGGTCCGCAGGACAAGAGAAACCAGTGGTTAGAGACTCTAGGTGATATGGTTCAGAACCAATATCAGTGGTTAAGACATATACACACCACATCTTTCCATTAATCGCTGTATTGGATCTCATCATTTTCTCGTTTCCCTTTCCTCTCTTTTACTGCTTCTACTTCCTTTGACCGATTTTTCTTTCCTTCTTTATCTTCCATTTTATTGCCTTTTTTACTTTTATATGGTGGAATGAGGTGTGGCAACTTGAACCGTTAGGTATAAATACCTGGTTCTATGTTAATCTTGATGATGATGACTAACTGCTTATTGAAAAATATAAAATTTCCTGCTAAAATCGGCTAAGTTGTCACTGATACTTCTTTCTGACCATGAATTCAGCAGTCTTTCATATGTGACTAGTATTTTCCCCTAAAGTTGGCATTTACTTCTGCCATTGTCGCCTGTTCTGCTGACTTCAACTATTAAATTGTATTTTCATCACAAATCTTACCTCTGTATGCCCAACCGCTTAGACAGTCTACTTTGTACCGATGGATCCTGGGTTCGAATCTGACTTCAAGTACCAATGTCCAGAAGATCTGGTGGTGCTATTTTCTTGCATATAAAAGGTGTGGTTCATAGTTGACTACATAAAAAAGAATGCGGTTATTCGAGTTCAGTATTACCACGTTTTATTATAACCTGTGAACTCTTTCGTATAAAAGGGATTATAGATGGTATTGTAGTTGATTAAATATATTTGTTTAATACAACAAGTAGGTACTTTCTACAACTAGAATTATAACAGTGTTTGAAGAAGATTGGAACAGTTGTACTAAATGAAACTGAATCCACTTGGCAGGAAATTTCTAGCTAGTTAACCATTCTACAGTCAAGGTTTATATTTCCCTATAACTGGCCACTACACTATAACCAGTGGGACATTTTCTAGTCTTGAATGCTGACTTCTTTTATTATTATTACGTAGTTATTTATCCTTTTGGTTTCTAGTGGAACATACGGATTTAGTAGCCCGTCGCCGTTACACTCTCTACTTTTCAGTGTCAGTATCGAGTGAGCGTAGGTGGCAGCTGCATGTATGCAGTTTGTTGGAAATACTTATCGGGACGCGCCGTCAACACTCAACCATCACATTGAAACACTGACTGACTGACCTAACTGTCTGTTCTACATATCTGGAAAATTCTACTACCCTTGTCATCACAAAGGAGGAGATAGGATTAGAAGTAGATCAAGTATGTTTCAGAGTTGTGGAGTTAGTTGTCTGATATGAATATGGAGAATGAATTGTGTCGGAAACGTTATTTGGTATATGATACTGTTTCACTATGTGACATATCTAATAAACAAACCAAAATGGAATTACTATCTATCACAGTGCTCAAGTTTTAATCCTATAGTATGATATATAGACTAACAAAGAAGATCAGCCAAAGTCATTTACGTTATCTGGGTGAATGCAGTTAACTATGAACATTAAAGAAAATGTGTATACCGAACAAACCAGAAAAATAAGGGGATTTGACTAGATTCTGCTTACTGCTTATGATTGTGAATTTTGTCATATGAATGTATACGCTCAAACATGAAATTCACTGGATATCGATTTATATGGAGTAGGCTACGGATAATTTTGTACTGTTTGAGTTGTGTACTTTGAAATGGAGTCTGTGAAGATAATTTATGTACATACACTTATGCCCCAATAAAGAATTTTTTATACAGCTGGATGATGTTGCCAAGAAACCACCACTGGGTTCACTCCTAAAGGAGTTTTCCTTAATAATGAAGGTGGAGGATGGTCTTATGAAAGGTGTAATAAAGGAGTTAGAATTTTATTATCTTTAGGTGGGCAATTTATTATTACTTCTGAAGAATGAGAATAGTATAAGAAGTATACTGGACCACTGGAGACTGACCAATTTCATGTTTTCCATTCCTGGGTGCTAATTGAACTCTGTCAGTGATTTGTAATACGGTCAACAAAGTGTCGGACTACAGTAATGTGTAACCAGGTTTTCGAATCTCTGGTGTGATATCATTTCACTTAAGGTTATACTTATGCCTTGATGATGAGTGCCAATATATATGAAAGCTGAATCGAGTAGGACTTGCTGTCAGTAGCATTCGAACATCCAAGAAGACCAAATCTGGCAGCCAGTGTGATTACGCTAGCCCGATGCTGTCATATCAGTGGATGATACGACAATCGGGCAAAATATTCTATGATTAAAGTAAAGTTAAAACCTGGTCATTAGCTGAGACTGGCAACTCCGTTGATATTGGAGCCTCACCAGCTCAAAAATCTGGGGCTACACAACTTTTCTTATCATATACAGTCAACACCCAGCATCAAATAACGAGAATTCTATCGAATATGAATGTACAACATAATGATCAATATCGTATGAGTACTTTTGTGAACGTTATAAAGAAAACTAATCAGAAAGAAGTCTTGTAGTCGAAAGTTAAACGGATCATATATAGACATAGACTGCATTAATAAAGCAATTAAATATGAAAAGTTATCATTAGACCATCCACTTTTACTCAATCCAGTAGAATTCCATGAAGAGCTTATTATGAACTTCTTTTTCATCTACTTTCTCACGATCACCATACAGTTAGGTCACAGTGTACTGTGACTGATGAATTTTTGACCCTTTTGAAATGGATCTGTCTTTATTCTTTGCACCCGATATCCTTGATAAACATTTAAAATTTCTATAAAGGAAATTTCTATCTTCTTGAGAACTGAAGAAGCATTAACTCTTCGTTCCGAGATAACAAGAATAAACAAAACGATTTAATTGGGTAGTATTTGTTGTCTATTTTATTATGATCGTTGAATTATCAAATAAATGAGGAATAAGTTATTCAAGGTGTGAGTGAAACAGCTTCACTTAATGTTTTGATCGTGAGTTGGAACTCGTCCCAACCTTTCATCTAACGAGAGAATGGATAAATGAAAAAAATTCACTCGTAGACATATGATAAATAGTACTGGTAATAATGGCTAGTGGTTAGTAATGGAATCCACTAAGATGCACGTTTCGTCCCACTTAGCACTCGTTAGCTGAATGGATCTACCTGACAGCGAGTGATTCTGTTCCTACTAGGGCTTGAAAGCAGAACATTAGCTTATGAGGTGAAGTAAACAAAGGACTAGAGATATCACAGCCAACGTACAGTAGACATGACATGATTTTAATGTATCGATCAGTACACTTGACTGGTTAACAGTGGCTCTAAAAGCCACTAAAAGATTATTAATTAGTTTTTTTTATTCTGTGAGAAAAACACCCTTGCAGACGAAATAGTCACACCTGATTGGCTATTTCAGCTACTACTAGGGTAACCTAGTAACCTAGTTAATTTACCAGTTATTTGAACAGTATAACTTGAATATTGTTTGACATCAAAGAAATTATTTTGCAGGGATAGTGTTGAGGCTTGTATTATTCGATAAATACTGGAAATGTGAAGCTTTGTATTTCAGTCCAATGATACCGTAATGGTCACAGGATCTGACTAACTTGAAATTGATTCTGTACAAGTTTGTTGGTGTAGTCTGGTCATCGATTTCAAGTCTCTGTAAGCTTGAATTCAATATTTCTCAATATGATACCAATTTGTAATCAGAACTCCAGCAGAATGGTAACTGATATCGAATGAATATTTTCTGTACAAGGAAACTCCGACCAACTATCTTTGGCTTGCTAATTCTGAATTGTACCAATTAGTCTTCAAGACATTACTGATAAACATGTTTCCAGTTACACTTCATACAATGAATACCGTTTCTTAAGTCAGTGTCATTTATTCAGTGTATTTTAACTTTTTCAGCGGATGTACAATGGATGTCCAACATGGGTATAAAAGATTTGTTAAACAACAGAGAGTATTTGTAGTTCAAGAAGATTATATGAGTAGTGCTGTGTTCTCCGAGTTGAATAACTTAATCGTGAATTTTTCATTGTCATTCTTGATGACGTCGTCAACAGAAACTTCACACAAAAATAAGCTATGAGAATTAGTAGCTTATCCTGTTGATCTTGACTGAGACTGGTTATTTCTTCTATCATCTTACCATTGTTTGCAATGACCAACACATCCTAATTACTATCTAAGTAAATTTTAATGCCTAATACCAGATTTTTCTGGGCGTTTTGACGTGTTACAACTTCTTCAGTAGAATACACCCTAAGTTAACAGTTTTGTCAGATTTAATCAGCTCATAGATATTAATTTATAGTAGCGCAGGTGAAGTACAACATTTAAACGAAAATTGTGATCATATTAGTTAACATAAATAGCACACATTATACACTTTTAAGGGTGAAAACTTCCTGGAATCTTTCAATTGCCTTCACCACACCATGAATGTATTAGTGTAAGAAGTATTTAACCTAACTGAAATAATTTTAATCACAAAGTTATATCAGTGGGAGAACCATCGAAAGCCTAGGCACATTTGACAGCTGTTTCGACTTGATGTGGGATTCCTCAGTTGTGCATACTGACAGCCTCACACAGGATTGAGTTCAAGACCTTGGGGCTTCGTAGTGAGCACGTCACCATTCAACCACTATACTAGAATACAGCTGTCCACATTTTCTCACTTCTGCCGTTCTATGATGCACAGCAACTATCCTTTGATGGTATCAGTAGGTATTTGTCCTCGCAACCAACTTGGTCGAAGCGAAAGATCATAGCTTCTCTCTAGGCCTTCGGATATTCTATTTCGAAGTCATTAGCTGTAAGACCTTAAACCTCAAGCTTGGTTTACCATGATGTGGTGAGTGCGCGCCGTTGAAGAGTCTCTCTCTGGAAGAAAACGGTGATCTACTGTTCCCGGGTTTTCGACGGCTGCCCCGTTTACTCCAGTCCGTGATGAAAACTATCTTGAAATCTACGTATCGCCTAAATCACCAACTGACTTACAGAGGTGATATAGTATATGGATTCATTTTATAAAAAATTAAAGTAAAACCTAGTAACAAAGACAACTTCCTTATCGTCTTAATAAGAACAAGTACAAATGATGACGAACTGCAAACTTGCTGGATAAAAATTTTTAGTTCCAATATCACTTCAAAAAAGACGGTTATTTTTAAGGTTACTTGTTAGTCAATGAGGTTGGAAGTATTCAGTGACTGAGGTCGTCGGGTCCTAGGAAATTTATGCCTATTTACTATCATCATCAGCAGGAAATGCTAGCTGGGTTAGAAGTATGGTGAGCGAAAGCTTAGTGTGATTGGATGAAGAAATTACATCAGTCCGTCCCTTCTTTGTCTGTTGACCTCACCTGTTCAGTAAAGTGTCAGTTTTCTAGTTAGGATTTGAGAAACAACTAAACTGCATCTTTACTGAATCTATGTGATGTGGTTAAAATAGACTACAATAGCTTGGATGCATCTACAGCCTATCTTCATCTCTATCTCTATTACCTGTTCACTGAGTAGTCACTGAAGAGCAACCACTATCATGTTGTTTAGTCATGAGTGCTGACCCAATTCTATCAGTCATTTCGCAATATGGCCATTAGGCCAACAGGCTCACTCAAGACTATACGATATGGAGTTAGTTGTTCTCTAGTAATCAATCGGTGTGTGCAGTTCAGTCCTACAGTAAGTCAATCACGGCCTGAATAGTTCAGTGTTAACGTGTCTGACCGCAACACTCTGTGATGCAAGTTCGAACCTCGGACAGGATATCAGTTCCTTCGAGGCTGCAGACACGGCTTGCTGACGAGTAGTAAGGAGTACGAAACCTAGACTAAGGAGATCTTCTTGTCGACTCAATGCATTCAACTACAATTATATGCATTTACTGTTCTTATTTCTTTTTCCCTTTGGATCATGAGGTATATACAACTAATGGTATTACTTACTCGTATTAGTTTATTGTTGTTTTGAGGTGCAGCAACCTATACTAAAAGATAATAATGCCTTATTTAATTTTGTTAATGTTTGTCTGCTTTCTCAGATAGTCGAGACTTCGCGTTTCTAACACAACACAAATACCTGAGAATGCTACCAGCTACTTGTTCAGAAAATTCAAAATGCTAGTCGTTAACCCCTAAAATGTTTACCAGTTGGCAATCTACTGAATTTTTTTCATGTTTTGCAAGCTACACTAAAAGCAGTCCTTTTGAGAACGACTTATGCAGCCTTATCAGACAGATTCTCTCCGAATCGTTTCTAGAAACTCCTTTTGTCATATCAATTCACATTTGAAAATACAATTTCTGCTACTGAAGATATTTGAAGAAGAAAGAAAATATGCCTAAATGTCTATCTATTATACTGTGGGGATTTCAAATAACCTCTGAATTTGTGTTTAAATTAACTAATTTACCGTGTCACCTGGTGATGACAGTTTATCGCACAATTTAAAATCTTATTACTTTGCATAGTCTGAGTAGGTAGAAAGAAATGAAATGACTCATACAGTATCATGGGAAGAATGTAGACGTGGGCTGGTGAATTAGTCTGACTGGGAAATTAGATTAAATGTTGGTTATTTATGGAAAATTTAAACACAGTTCATGCAAATAGCCTCTGTATTTTACATTCCAGACGTGATGCTCAACATTATATGTTGCTGCTTCGTTTGTTTTGTCCACTTACCCTCTATGTTTCTCATTTCTTTCACACACTACCGATTGCATGAAAACTCTACTTTCTTTCCCTAGGGAAATAATCATATTTACTACTTACATATGCTCATATAAGTAGCTTGATAACATACTCACTGCTAATCCAATGACGAAGAGATGAGCTGATGACGTTACCAAATCTGGTATTGAAAATGAAAGCTTAGAAAGCACTAAATAATTATCGTTCGCCTACAGCTTACCTACCTATGCTTTCGCTGGATTATTGATTTCCAGTCGGTCACACTTTATAGCCTGAATATGATTTTGACTTCCAAATGAGAGTAGAGTGAGATTTTGCAGATAGAACTTGACCAGCCCTTAAAACTAGACAACATAAAATTGGCAACCCTTCGGTGACCAGTCAATGTATCTAATCCAGTCCTACAGGAGATCATTCGCGGCGCGCATAGTCCAGTGGTAATACCGCTAACCACAACACTGGGTGACTCGGGTTCGAACCTCAGGAGGGACATCCGTCCTGTCGATGATGATGAGTGCCAACAAGCACGAGACATAGGTCCAGGGTTTCCCCTCCCCCGATTGCCTCCATGCAGCTAACATCTGGCAGATATATCAGTTGCTTTAATGATAGTCATGTGATTTCCATGTCACAATGTGAATCTTGCAAACAGTTGCTTGCATTTATAGTATTCGTTCTCTTAATACTGCCTTTTCTTTAGTTTGATAATATTACCTAATAGAATGATAAATTCTCAAAACAATTCATTTTCGAAAAATATGTAATTCATGATCTTTCTCTACTTTACTCCTATCTTGCACGATTTTAATTTGCAGCATACGAACAGTTGGCACCATATAAATATAATTATTTATTTCCTGTCACGTTATTAATACTTTTTAGGCATAGATCATGTGATAGCATTCGTTTAATTTTACATTTACTAGTATGAAACAAAAATAAATTTGATTGGTTGTTTGTATTCATTGATTTTTTTTTCTGATTCGTCACTCAATCTTAGTTTTATGCAGGTCAGATTGATCATGTGCTTTGGCTTAAATACTCCTTAGTTTAAACTGTATAACAGATTTTATTGAATGACCCTAAAGGTCATCTCTGCGGCCATTGAAATAACCATTTTAGGCATAATCATTCCAACACGAAAGGTAATTTTTCTTAGGTCATTCATATTACTTCATATTAGATTTGTCAATTTGATTTATAACACACAATCATATAGTATGATTACCTGGATGACAACGTTACAAGCATAAATTATTATCCCTCATAATCATATCAATCATGTCATACAGAACTTTCCATATTCGATTTTTATATTTCTACGACTTCTTATTCATTGTTTTGATTGGTAGTAAAGCTTCCCATATCTCTGGTATAGGTGTTGCGTCATTGTTCCTATTACAAGTTTTCGTGTTGATTCGATTAATAAAGATCCAATAAATTTTGAGGGGGTTGTGGAGATTTGGAAATATTTCAAGTTGTTATTCATTGAAGACTGACATCAGTTGGAGGAACAAAGGAAACCTGGGAGCACTGGACAGCTGTTTCGTCCTAGTATGGGACTCCTCAGCAGTGCGCACCCACGACCCCACCAGCAGGGATCGAACCCGCGACCTTCAGGTTCCGCGACCAGCGCGTTACCATTGAGCCACTGGGTCAGAATCCAATGCTCCATATTTCCAACTTCTGTTAGCTCACGATATAGCGCAAACCGCCACCCAATGTCATCGTTGAGTATTTGTCCTCACGGCCATCAGGCTTTGACTCCACCGGTCACGACTGATGTCAGTCTTCGATGAATAACAACTTGAAAGATCCAATAATCAATCTCTCTCTCTCTCTCTCTGTCTCCACCTAATTATATTGAATTGAAGTGCAGTGGCTTTATCCCACACAATCCTCCTACTGTGTGGTTGTGTGTTAATCCAAGTATTGCGATAGCTGAGTGTTTTTCTAGATTATTGTTCTTATTCAGGTTTGTCATTGTATATTTAGGTAAATTCCTACATTCCGCTATTCTAACTAACCCCGATCGCCTAGTTTCACCTACATACTTGACCTCATAGTGATTACATGAAATTCGATGGATTAGATTATTCTGCCTAATTGGTTCTATCGGATCCTCAAGCCAGCCGACAAAGCTTATCTCTAAGTGAGTTTGTAGATTTAAATGTCACCCTAATTCCAGCTTTGTTGACGATCCTACGTAAAGTTTATGATGTTACTTCCTCATAAGGTAATGGAGGCTGTAAACTCCTTTCTACTTGTGTTATCGTTATTATTAGTACTCGTTTTACTGTTACCTGTTATTTTCTTATGTGTTCGTGCGAATTTCTTAGTAAACGGTAGAGGATAATTATTAACTAGCAGCGCTTCTTTTACGTGTTTCAGTTCCTTGTTTAGGTCCTTGCAATGATCAGTCAGTTTTCTAGCTCTATCATTTAAACATTTGACTAAACCTGCCTTAACTGACATTGGATAGGATGACTTGAAGTCTAGATACCTGTTAGAATGTGTCGGTTTTCTGTAGAGGGTAGTATCCAAACCACTGCCTGTCCTTTGTTTTATCCTGCAAACCAACACAGATAATTCTACTTGTTCATTTTCTACGTCGTGATTGAACTGGATCGTGCTTACTACTGAGTTTATATGTGTGAGGAAATTGTCGATATGTTCCGACTTCAACATAGTAAGCGCGTCATCAACAGGTCGGGACCATATCTTAGGTGCAGGATTAAGCCTTTATAAAACCATGTTCTCCCAACTAAACATAAATATATCTACTACGATTAGGGATATTGGTGATCTCATTGCTACTCCTTCTGTTTGTTTGTATATTTTGTCCTGAAACTTGAAGACTGTGGAGGTCAGGCACAACTTGTACGCCTAATATGCATTAACACACAACCACACAGTAGGAGGATCGTGTGGGATAAAGCCACTGCACTTCAATTCAATATAATTAGGTGGAGAGAGGGAAAGAGAGATTGATTACTGAATTTTTGTTCATCGAATCAACACGAAAACATGTAATAGGAACAATGACGCAACACCTATACCAGAGTTATAGGAAGCTTTATTATGATTATTATTTTTTTCCCTTGGGTTCCAAGTAGAAGGAACATAGGGCTTCAGTAGCACGCCTCCATTCCACTCTCTTCTCTGAAATCATTTCAACCTGGCTCCACGACAGCCCACAACATCTCATTTCTTCCTCACATCATCTCCTCCATGTCACCCTCACCTCACCCATCTGGGTTCCACTCGATCAACTGGCCTGGTGCGTGATGTCCCCACTCGGCCTTCTCAGTGTATACCCAATCCTTTCA